TTAAGAAAAGGTTACAAACCGTGGCTCGTGCAAACATGGACACATCTCGGCCCCTCCATCCCTCCGTTTTCATCCTGACCCTTTCAGTCTCCTCCTTCCAATACTCCGTGCTGTCTGGATAGTCTGGATACGCCAAGGTACTTAGGTGGCAAGGCTGTCCACCGAACATTTAGAAACCTTCTGGAGTGGTGGCCCAGTTGCCATGCCAGATCCCAGCAGATTTGTCCCAGTTGACAACACTGCCCGTTTTCTTGCAAAAAGAAGTTGCCACGCTGACTACTTCCCGAACACTATTCTGGTCACAGCAAAAAACGGCGACATCATCTGCATAAGCAAGCACCTTGACCTCGCAGGCCTCTAACTTAAAACCATGAATTCTTTCACTGTGAATGAGTCTCAAACAAAAGGGCTCTAAATACAATGCGAAAAAGCAAGGGTGATAATGGACAGCCTTGCCTTACTGAAGACCGTACGTTGATATTTTCAGAAACGGACTTATTTACGATTAAACATGTGGTACAATCTGCGTAAGCCCCATTTTTAGTCCTTCCAATATAATCGAACCGACATTTACGTATTCCAAGATATTAAAAAGAACCTTATGGGACACCCGGTCAAATGCCTTCTCGAGGTCGAGTTGCAACATTGCCACTCGGCCTTCAAAAGCGTCGCAGCATTCAAGGACAGTTCTGGCAACGTGTATATTTGTGCAAATAGTGCGGCCTTTTATCCCGCATGTTTGGTGCGGCCCTACAAGGGACTTGATCACGTTTTGCAGTCGTCGAGCAAGAACTTTCATGTATATTTTGTAATCGACGTTTGTTAAACTTATCGGCCTGTACGAAGAAACGGAAAGAAGCTTTACAGAATCATCCGATTTCGGGATGAGCACTGTATGCGTTCGCGAGAAGGACGGCGGCAACCTTTTGTTCTGATATGCTTCAGTCAGGACTTGATGAAGCACATGCGCTGACTGACTTTTAAAGGATTTGTAAAAGTCGGCACCCAGGCCGTCTGGCCCCGGTGTCTTGCCGCTACTTAGCTCGTCAATGGCCTTTTCCAATTCCCAAACGCTGATTGGCTCTTCTAATCGGCTACAGACGTTCTTTTCCTGCTGCGGCATCAGTGCCAACAATTCAATATCAAAACCTTCGTCTATCGGTGCTAATCGCTCAAGGAGATCCCGATAGTGATCGACAAAAGCCCGCTCGACTGTTTTCTTATCCCGCGTGACGTTGTTCTTATAGCAGATTTCCTTAATCTCGTCACGTTGTGCAAACCCCTTTTCTTCGCTTGGAGCGCGTTTTGTCGGTTGTTCGCCCAGCCAAAGCTTTTCACTTCGTGCACGCACTATTGCCCCCCGGTATCTTTCACAATCTATAACTTCCAGCTGGTTTTTAATGTCCCTTATTTTCTGAGTAAACTCGCGAGGTTTCGAACTTTCTTCGGTCAAAAATATGCTTAGCTGGCACCGCAATGTTTTTTCTTTCTGCTGTTTGTGATGCTTGAGGATGCTGCTCCTTTCCACAGCGACCTTCTTTACGCCCTCTTTGAAATATTCCCACCTTACCCCCCATAACTGCTCTTCGCTTTCGTGCAGTTTGCAAAACAATTCACGAAACTTCGAACAAAAAAACTCATCTTTGATTAAACTACTGTTCATCTTCCACAGCGCCCAATTCCAACTTGGTTTCTTGGCTTTGCTGCCAAGGGTGAACATAACCATTGCGTGGTCGCTGAATGACACTGGTTGAACTGTATAATCGTGGCAGGAAGGAATAAGCTCGAGCGACATGTAGGCTCGGTCCAGGCGAGCGTGACTACGGCCCTGAAAATGCGTGAACCTGACGCTGCCTGCGGACGCACAGACTGCCACATCCTCTAAGGCTTTTTCTGCAACCATCTCGTTTAAATAAAATGCGCTTTGATCACGAAGATGAGCCCGATTCACCCGATCCTCAGGTGCACAAACACAATTAAAATCACCCAGCACAATAACAACCCTTTCACAGTCTAGATAAGTACTCAATTCTTCAAAAAACAACCTACGTTCACTCTCCCGGTTCGGGGCATAAACACATATAACCCGCCACTCCCTGTTTGAAAAAGAAAAGTCACACAATACAAACCGACCAGAGGCACACGTATGTACCGCTGTCTCCACAATACCGGTAGACCGACGGATAAATAAACAACAGCCACCGGACGTTCCCACCGCGTGTGACACGCAAACATTAAACAAAGATCTAAAGGGTAACACCATACGGTCCGTCGCTACCTGGCTTTCGACTTTGGTTTCTTGGACGGCTATAATGTCCAGCTCATTTTCAGCAAAAAGTCTGCTCAGCTGATACTGTCGCCGTCTCGCTGCCAAGCCACGCACGTTTATCGTGGCTACACGTAAAGCCCTTTCTAGCGTTACTGCCATGCAAGGACCGTATGGAGCTTACCTCGATCAGGGCGGGTCTGACCGCCCGTTACTCGGCTGTGGCAAGCCCACTCTCACGTCATCCCACGGAGTTTTCTGTTTGGAAGGTAACTTGTTCCTCCTGATGGGTGCTGCCTTCAGAGGCGGCTCCTCCTGGCTTGGTACCCTGGTGTCCTCGCCGACGTCACGGATCCGTTTTATGGCGGGGCCACTGACCGGGACTTCATCGGCGTCCATGGGAGCTTCGTCTCCCTCCTTGGCAACGACGTTGGAAGCGACGGCTTCCGCGATGTTCCGTTCGGTGTTCCCACCTGATGGAGGCTCACGTGACTCGGCCCGTTGCGTCGCCTCCTTAACCGGTGTCGGGTCTTGTGGGACCGGCTGCACGTCGGGCTCAGGCACGGGCTGAACTCTCACAGCAGCGCTTTCCTTCGCCTTGAACGCCCCGGCGGCTTCTTCGGAGTCCGCCTCGTCCATGAGAAGCTCCGACGTCTCGTCGCCTCTCACACGTGCTGCGGCCACCGCGTAGGTTCTGACACAGTCGGCGCTGACATGCCCGAACCGCCGGCAGACCCCACACTTGGGAACGCGGCACTCCTTACGGATGTGGCCGGTCTGCTGACATCGTAGGCAAAAGGGAGCCCTGCCCGGCACCACGACGAGGGCCAACTCGCCGGCGACACGCAGCTGGTGTGGAATGTCAGCAGGAGTCACGTCCCCCTTGAGACGCAGCACCGCCGTTCGCGTCATGGTACCGACGCTTTGACAGCCGTCGACGCGCCACATTTCCCTGGAGACTTCCAGCGCCTTCCCGTACGGAGCCAGGGCCGCCCGCACGTCGTCCTCCGAGACGTTGAACAGCAACCAGTGGAGCTTGATGCGCACGTCCTGGTTGTTAGGGTCGATAGTGATGCACCGTCGGCCCTTGACGGTCAACTCAGGAGTAGCCAGCATCCGTCTTACACCATCCGTCGACTTGAAGGTCACCGCCCATACGTGGTTCATTTGATACGCGCCTATGGCGGTGACCTCGGCGAACAGCGACAGTTTAACCAGCGTATCTCGAAAATCTTCTACGCGGTAGGGCCGCCCTTTAACGTCGGCGTGCAAAAAAACAGTGTTTGAAACGACTGACCCAGTTGGCAATGCCGGCAAAACAACAGCGTAATCCTGTGCGTCATCCTCCGACCTGATACCGCGGCTCAGCTGGGCCGCCGAAACTGTTCCGCGGGAGCCAGGCATCCCACGTCCGTTCACTGCGGTGGCCGGAAGTGGAATCTCACTCGGCCACGACTGCGGGACGAGTAGGGGGCTCTGAGATCCGGTAGTAACTGAAGAGCTGGGGTTTCTGTCATGGATGAAACGTTGCATGTAGCCGCTCAATGTCAATACAGGAGAGGGCGCTGCGGTCAAATGCTCAAATGCGTATTAACTACGTTCCATCCCACACATTCTCTTTCTGACATGGACCGTTGAATTAAGCGGTGGTGATGCGTTCCGACGGCTTCCAGCGGATCCAAGCTGATCCGCTAGAAGAACCACTGGCTCTGCATTTCACCGACCATAAAACAGTAATAATGAAGTCAAAATGCAACCCGGAACTCAGCATTACCAATGAGCAATAAAAAAAATCAGCACCATCAGCACTACCTATGAACAATAAAATCAGTATCATCAGCACCACCAGAGCTTCGCCCCATCAACATCATTCACCACGTGGAGATGCGGCCATTTTTTTCAGCCTTGTGCCGGTTACTTAAAGGATAAAATCAGGGTTGTAAAGTACCTAGGTACAAGTAACTGTAAATCGGTATCTAGGTACTTTTGTTGTACCTGAGGTACAAACCTAGGTACTTTCATTTCTCAGTATCTGTATTTGTATCTTAGGTACATTTTCCAGTAACTTGTAACTAAGTGAAGTTACTTTTTACAGGTACTTTTCTATTCACTTCGTCAAAATCGTAGAAAATACAATATAACATATAACTGAAAATATATTATAATTACAGTCGTAAAGCAATTTAACATCACGTAGTGTTTCCACGCAATAAATCGAACTCCAATTGTGCACTTTACAAAACTGCAAATGTTTGTGAAGAAAAAAAACAAAAAAACTGGGAGGACGATTAACCTTCGCCTTTAAGAGTTGAATGCGATAGGGTTATCGGGCCCCATTCGCATGGCCTTCTCATTCGCTTCTCATGCTCTTGAGTCACACAACGACCTAGTTCTTATGATACAACACTCCTGGCGCGATCGAGAAGCTTTTGCCAGTGCTTTGATGCCATTTTACCCCGCAAGGTTTATTTATGTGTTTGCTTGGCACGCGCTAACAACACTCGATGCGATAATGCCTTTACGCTGACACAGACATCGAGGCACTCTAATGATGGCAGGATCGCAGTGCCATTTCCAAGCCCTCCGTTGCCTAGTCAGTAGCGTGTCTGCTCGCAATTGAATGGTCGTGGGTGCGATCCTGCGTAAATTCTTCAAATTTTTTTTTTTTTTTTTTTTTTTTTTTTTTTTTTTTTAAGGCGAATGCATTAGTTTGTTGAGTGGAAGTTTGGAGGAGGTTTGCGAGAATTTTAAAATTCCGCGATTCACGAAGTCAGACATTGACTTTATTGACGAGTATGTTCAGGTGTTTACACCTCTCGCACAAGCTATAACTCTTCTCCAGCGCGAAAACAGTATGTTCACGGCATATCTCATGCCTATAGTGGCTTCACTTCGAAAAAAAATGTTCGTGTTGCTGTTTGAGAACTTGAGGTACTGCCGCCCGGTGGTCGAGAGCTTAATCGCGGCGATCAATAAGATGTTTGCAGGTATGGAGGAAGAAAAACATTTGATAATATCTGCCGTATGCCATCCAAAATTTAAGGTTGCATGGATAGACAGCGAAGTGGAATGGAAGCGGGCCTGGGATTATCTAAAGAGCGAACTTATCCGAACATCAACTATAGAAAAAGCGTCGTCAGGCGAACGAAGTGGTGGGGATGAAGAAGACTGTGAGCACTTCTTTAACTGCGAAACATCGTCCTCATCTGCTACATGGGAGCAGGAGTTTGTACAGTACACCGAACTTGCTCCCACAAGAAGTCTGGACTGTCCCAAGCACATGTCGCTGCTGAAAAGCGCGTTCTTAAAATTCAACACAGGGCTTCCAAGCAGTGTGGCGTTGGAGCGCGTTTTTAGCATAGGAGGAACAATTGCTACCAAACTGCGATCGTAGATGTCGGATGAACATTTCCAAGAAGTCCTGATTCTGAGGTCAAATCGAGCACTCAAGTGAAAAAGAAAGTCTTCGAATGCTCTAGTGAGAGCGTTTTGCTTTATTTCTTCCATTGACACCAATAAAGCACGTTTATCAAACCTGTTTTTGTGTACATCCCAGTATACAAAGGATTTAAAGATACTTAACGTGAAAATAAAAAGTACCTTTGAAGGAACTGTACCTGTACCTAGGTACATTTTTAAGCGAGTAGCTAGATACGCACCTAGGTACATTTTCGTATGAGTAACTGTAACTGTATTTTAGGTACATTTTTGAAGTAACTTTTACAACCCTGGATAAAATAGACTAAAAATGCAAGTTCCTCAACCCTCAATGCAAAGAATTACTGTGACTAATTAGTTCCCAGAATAAGCACCTGATTACCTTACTCGTTGCGTCACAAGTTAATTCCACGTTAACTTGCTCGAACACTTCTAAAAAAGAAACCGTAGTTTAAATGTTAAAAAAAATTAGACCAAATGCTTGACGGCATTCACTTCTGTGACATTTAGCAATTTTTAGGAAAACATGAACTAGGGAAGTTCACATGAATGGGCGATTGCAGAGTGCACTAAAATCTAAAACTAATGATCATTATTGCGGCGGTCTTTATTGTATCTGATTGTTTCCTGCATTTTTTAGAGCTCAACTGCCGCTGATATTATTTGATGGATTAACCTGCAATTTTTCAAAAAAAGCTCCTCGCAGGACTATTGTTTTCTTCTCTGCTTTGTGAACCATGTTTTTCAGGAACCATTTGTTTCCAACCCTGGGTTCTTCAATTCACAAGGTTTTTTTAATGAATTCAGACACCTCCTATTGTCATACCTGTTAGGATCCTTCCCTGCCTGTATTTGTAAATAAAGAACATTACCCGTTGGGTAGCATACCGGTGCTACTGCGCAGTGGGTTTTGTGGTGGTCTCCTCATTTCTTTTTTTGTGGAAAGCAGAAAAAAATGAAAGCAGTTCACAACTCCCTGTAACGCCGAATTAGAGCGCAGCTCTTGAGGAGGAGGAGGGAAGGGTACTGAGGTTTACGTGTTATCGGGGGGAGGGGTGGTCACGTGACCTTGGAGGGGTCACATGACTCCCTCGCCAAGGTCATGTGAGGGTCACGTGGCCTGGGGGTGTCACGTGACCACGGGGGTCACCTGACCTCAAGAGAAATTTTTCCGCTAGATTTAGCGGGGAAAATTTTCCGCTAGATTTAGCGGGGAAGTTTTCGCTAGATTTAGCGGGGAAATGTTTCCGCTAGATTTAGCGGGGAAATTTTTCCGCTAGATTTAGCGGGGAAATTTTCGCACTAGATCTAGCGGGGACGTTTTTCCGCTAGATATAGCGGGAAAAATTTTCCGCTAGATTTAGCGGGAAAATATTTCCGCTACATTTAGCGGGGAAATTTACCCATAATGCACCGCGCGGTTACGCCGACGGCGACGGCGACGCCGACGCCGCTCAAGCCGGAAACGGGCGCCTAGGAGCTGCGCTCTAAAAATTGAATCGAATTAAAATGGTTTTAATTTTCACATGTGAGAATAAAGAAAATCCTATAAACTTTTTATATATCTGTTTATTAGTCATATTCTATATAAAATGTGTTTTCAAGTGCCCGGGTTTTAGCCTTCTTTTTGCCGTGACCTTATGACACTCAATAAAAAAATAATCATACCGTTAGTATGCTCTAGAGAGCCACGCCACGACGGAAACGCGACAGCCTGACCATGGAGGCCCGTGGTTCCGCGTCTAATGAGCACGAGAAAGCGATGAGTATAGGCATGCAAGATGGCGAGATGAATCGCTCCTATTGTGGAGGATGGCAGTCCGATTTATAGGTGTCCAGATTTTGTTGACGCGGGTCGGCAGCGAGCCATGGGGATCTGGCACGCCGTTAGAAAGCGTCAGGCTCAAATAACGTACCCGTTACTTTTCTCCCTTCGTTGCTGGTGAGTGGTGTATTAAGGCGAAAGCCTCGTATGTCTCATCGTCCAGTCGACCTTCAAAGTCCTTCAAGGGGCGGTGCAACGATTTTATGATTAAAACTATTTACATCTCGTCATTTTTACGTTGTTTATCGTGTCCCAGAGGATAGAGAAAACACTTCCTTCTTTAAAAATGTCGCGATTCTGCTGCATAATCGCAAAGAAAAAGTCGAGCTTTTCCCCCCACCTGCAGCCCCAAGTGGCAGCCGAAGGAACTACGGCGGAAAGATTACGTGACCTCGCTCGGCTCTAAGCTGCAGCATAGCGCCCGCTAATGTACGCAGAGAGAGGGAGGGGAAGCGTCCTCCGAGATAGCACACGGGAAGCTACACGGCACTCCGAATGACGTCACTGGGAGTGCGACCAGGTGTGACCCTGAAGACTGGGAGTGAGTTGAGGGGTGCCCGAAATGCCAATCTTTATCTTTTTTTTTTTACGCAACAACTAGGACACGCAGGCGAAATCGGTTTTCTGTTCTTTACTTCATAAGTGTCAGGGGGCAACTTCCAGAAATCTTTGACCGAAGTCCGAAAATCGTTGCACCGCCGACGTGTTTTCAGCGAAAACACGTCGGCGACACGAGAGGTACAAAAGGTTTGCGTGACCACTCAGGCGAATTCGATGCAACAAAATAAAGAAGCACGAAAGAGCGAATCAGAAGGAATTGAATTGAATTGAAGTAAATCATGTGTCTGCGTTTAAAGGGATACTTCAACGAAATTTGAAATATATCCGTCGTGTTCAAAAATAGGTTGAATGTGATCCACAATAACCGTAAATGACAATGGCACGTTTGTGTTTTGAGCCTGGTGGCTGTATTTCTCGTTATAGACCTTTGTCCGGAAGTGCTCTTTTTAGCCTCGACCGCAAGGAGCAAAAGCGAACAATAATCTCGAACCCAGACGCTCACGGGGAGGGGGGGCTGCGTCGGCCTGCGCCGCCGCTTCCCGTTGGAGGCTTCTTCGCTGGTGTGCCGACTGCCGTTTCGCCGGCATCGGTCCTGTTTACCGCGGTATGCGAGTATAGTGCCCGTAATGTGAGAGCCGTGTGTCCATACGCCACTTTGCCGCTGTTGGTTTCCATCTAGCCGAGCCAGAAAACATCTCGCGACGAGTTGACCGCGCCGCGAGTGACGAAGAAGAAGCAAACATGGCGACGGTTTGTGCGATTGCTTTGGTGGCTCCGGTGTTGAGTGTCTTCAACGTCCTCGTGAGAAGGTTCCCCTGCCCTTCGAAGTTATTGCAAGCACCACGAAAGATGTGGAATCATCGTCTCAACTACAAATAAGCAGGCCTTCACGAGCAACAACAGTGCCGAGCAGGCGCTCGGCACAGTGTGTCAGGCTCACGCAGCCAGCGGCACAGTTGTGTTGGTTGTGTCGTCAGATGTTCAACAACGCCGAGGTATTTTCATTTATCATTGGGAATGACTTCAAGAGTGGGAAATTAATCTATTTCGCGGTTTGTTAACGCCGAGGCGAGTGCCCTCCGTTGCAGTGCCGTCGTCGCGCAAAGTGCGGAGAAAACCGGGTGGCGATGGCGGCGGTGCTCTTTGATCTTGCGCCGTCGGGTTCATGAAGTCCGGAGTAAACGTACGTACGTGCGTCTGCTGGATCGGTGTTTTGGACTTCCTCAAAACTCTTTCTCACGCGCATTTTCCCTGTGAAGCTTAGTAGCTCATTACACCTCATCGTCGACTGCGCTCATTTGACTACGACTAACGAGCCTGCGTGATGTGAATTTCACTGCCTAAGATCTTTGGTGTGCTGTAACGAGGGCTAATAAAATATCACCGCGAGCTTCTGAATTAACGAGTCGAAGTTTCGTCTGCTATCATAACTGATCGCCTGTCACAATATTAATCAGTAGCGTTCCTAGACTCCGCCCCCACAGGCACCCTGCTTCGTTGCCCGATAGTCAGTGTCTCTTGGTACCTCGTAGAATTCCAGCTCCCACTTCAAGTAAGTACCATCCTTTATAACTGGCAATTAATTGTTTCGAACCCAGACGCTCGCAGTGTGTGTGTAGGGGGGAGGCGTGTTAACATACTCGGAGACCTCGTTTACGCCGCTTCGGAGCGGCAGACAAGGCGCCACATTACAAAAGAAAGCTAATCCGAGCTGTCTATGGAACTAGACCCATTCGCTAGTCATTCGATGAAACGTCGTGGTCTCGTTTTCATTCGCTAAAACGGCGTTCGATCAAGTGAACGCCTCCCACTTATTTCGGCTCGGGAGAGCCGCGCTGCCGCAGAAAGGCAAGCAGATCGCGAAAATCGGTCTCAAACGTGCCACGAATGTAATGTCGTATACAAGAAGCCAACAATCAAGCATTTGAAAGCTACAAGAAAGCGGTAGCGAAATATTTACTACGCACTGAACCCGGACTGAAACGCGGATGTCAAGGGTCAGCAGACACCGAGAACATTTAAGAACAAAGGTTTTCTCTTGTTTTCTTGATCGAGATGGGTTCTCGAATGTTCACGACATCTTATCTGTTGTCGCGGGTCGCGGAGGCTTCTGGTGAAGACATCGTTCACGATCTGCCGGTGCATTCGGACAGCCTGCCGCATCCATCTCCCCAAAGCAACGCCGCCAACGCAGCCCCCCACCCCTCCTGCCTGCCAGTTCTTTCCGCGTGGTGGCGCGAGCGTAGATAAACATGGCGGCGCCCTGGAATTGGCGCGGACACTGGTCTATAAACGGCTCACTCTAGCAAGCGCTTGGAGAAGGCCCAGCTTAGAGCACGTGACATCCGACGCAATCGTGACGTAGGTCGTGTCGGGACGAGCAAAGTTACGGCAAGGCTGACGTCGAGGGGATGGCCTAGTCGTTCCAGCCACCGAAGCGGCTGCTTTGGTACAAATTTTGAGTGACGGGTTAATCTTTTATAATTTTGTACGGGGAAAATAGCTACTTCTTGAACACACAAAAGGTATTCTCGGGAAGACGGGAGTTCCTCCTTCCCCTCTTCTCTCGT